CTTAGTGCAGGTGCACTGCTTCCATCATCCTGTTTTTTAGAAAGAAACTCAATTTGATAAACAAGGCCAAATTATCATAGCAAGAGCAAATGTGTGTTCCATCATAAGACCATGTAATACTTCCAGTAATCCAAAGGACGGAAATGGAATCCCAATACACTTTAAACAAGATTTCCCTAACCATATGTATATTAGCAGAATAGCATACTTATTTCTTTTTTATTGGATGTCTAGTTCATCTGGCTCACAAGACCCCGTTCATTCATCAAATGCAATAATTTGTCACTCAAAAACGTGTAATAATTTATAAAGGTGAACATGAAATGTATTTAGTTATTTACACAAGTTGACAACCAGAGAAGGAGTGGATGAATATCAAAATCTATCCAAAAAAAGAAGGATCTGCTTTCAGATACACCAAATCACCAATTGGAAGACTAATTTTTTATAGGCTATCCTAAAAAATAACTACTTTAAAGCATAAGAACATCATGAAACATTATAATCACAAAAGTTAGTAGAAGGTTGGTTTTCTTAACACATTCTACTTAACACTCAATAATATAAAACAAAAAAGTTGTCTTATTGACTAACTTACATAGCAGAGTTGTTAAGAAAAAACAAGATTAGGGAAAGCAGGATTAAATACCGCAAGGATAAGAGAAGCAATCTGAAGCAAAGCCTTCTCCGCATCACTGATACCACCAGCTTCATTCTCTCTAGAACTAACAATTATAACACGTTCCTCGTATCGCTAACGCAAAACAGTCAACAAGTTAACATGATGTCAGTCACAAATCAGCTTTGATACAAGAATTCCATTTGTTTTGTTTTCTCCATATTATACCCAAAAGTCAGCAAAAAAAAAAAAAATGCTTAAACTGGAATGTACATTTAACAAGCAATCATGAATCTCAGTATCACTTAATATGGCAATAAGCAACACAGCTTTTACGAAACAGATACCTAGAACAGAAAATGAGACTAATTACTTATTACTGTATAAACTAATATATTATGGCCAATATACAGGAGTTGGACAGAGATAACCCAAACACTGCATTACCATATTAAAGTGACTGCAATTATTTGTATACAAAATAAGCTACTTCTGTTTAAACTACAACATAACCAATCCATTCGACCTCAGCCAACAATACAGAGATAATTTAACTTGGAAGCAACCTCTCCAAAGATGAACATACAACAGGTTAAAATTATGATTTATCTGAGATTGCATTAGCAGAAGTTTGGCGGCAATCTGTAGCAAAATAGTTTTAAATTTAAGTCTCTGCTCTCCAAAAACACATTTTATCCAAAAGTTGTTTGCTGAATAATAAGTAAAAAAAAAAAAAAAAAAACAGAGCCACAGCTTTCAAGCATCAAATGTTCAGGGAAAATAAAGATAACAATAATGAACTGTAAGTTCTAAACAGTACTCCTCTAATTAGAAATTTGTAAAGACTGCAAGCTAACAAAATATAGACCTTAGACCACATATAATTGCTATCATACAATCAGGTCAACCCAACAAAAACAAATAAAATAATACTTCGTATAAAAAGTTTGAATTCAACATGGAACTCACTTTATGAAAATTAGGGGAAAAAATAGTTTTAATAAAAAAAAAGTTATTTTTATGTTTTTTGTTTTTTGTAGACTCTTCTATTCGATTAGTGACATCGAAATGTAGGAGCATGACAGCCCTCCAACGTATTTGCCCTACTTGAAAGTTTCTAGGCCAGATAGCAATTTGATGGTTCGAAATCACTATCCCTGAGTATTCTTTCATCTAAAAAAGCAACCAAGAGCTAATCTTCATGCAGCAAATCTCAATTGCATTTTGTTTTATTGTATGAGTCATAAACTACACTAAATCTCACAGCCTTGCATTCCACCAACTCAGTTACACAAAGAAAGGTCTCTGTATGATTTTATCTCCTATCGTAACATCATGCCAGAATCAAGAAGAGATGCCTCTTATACCCTATAATGCATACTAAACTCATCTTCCTAACAGCATCAACAAACAGTCTTTAGCACAAATTAAACTAGCAATATACATTCCTGAAACTTTCAGCTTATTGGTTCAGATACCAATTCAGTATTTTTTTTTACCCAAGAATTACTCGAGTCTTCACCGAATTAAGTTACGCATATCTGATAATTCCAACAACACTGCATCAATTCCAATTAACATAAAGATCACACATCCTCTCTAGTCAAGTCAATCACACAAATTCTAATTAACATCATAACCTATGGAGTTGAGATCTTCCAACCTCAGTAACTTCAACAGCTTCAACTATCTCATACTCCAAACATAACAAATGAACCCCAAAATCAATTAAAACAACAAAGTCCCCAAATTTCAAAGAACCCCAATACCCCATTCAGTGGCGGAGCCAGGATTTATAATTCGGGGGGACAAATTTTGGAGGTTAAAGTTTCGGCAAAAATCTCAAGAAAAAAATTGATCACCTAAATTGTTTAATATTTATTTGAAATCACATATGCCAATTATTTCTATATGGCAAAAGAGGAATAAAAAAGTTTTATTGTATATTAAGAAAATTATCCAACAAAAATGAATAAATTTATGTTTGTAAATCCCGTTATGTAATCACATAATTGATATATACGAATTAATTACCTTATCATAAAGTCAAATAATTATCGTTAGAACAAATTGATGGTAGATATGAAGGGTCTGGGTTTGAGTTACATTCGAAAAAATAAACTCAACTTTCTCAAATCAATCATATTATTACATATGTATTTCGTATGTATTAATAAAAGTTAAAACACAGTTACAAACAATTAATTAATAGTAATCTATTTATTAGAAATGTAAAAAAATAGAGTTTAAGCACATAATAAAATTAAAAATCCTAAAACAAGAAATAGGAAATGAAAAATAAAATTAAAAAGACTATTGAAAATTAGAGTAATCAAAAAACAAGTAGGGAAAAAAAAACAAAAAAGCTGAAAAATAGTAGAGTAGGGAATCGAACCTAAGACCAAGGCACAGCCTTACTAAGGACTCAACCACCAAACCATATTCAATATTGTGATATTTACTGTAAGTATATGATATTTATAGGCTTTTACTGTATTTTCTTGATTTTTTTTTTTTTTAAAAAAAAAACTTTTTTTTCGAAAATGGGGGGACAACTGTCCCCCCTTGTTCTAATGTGGCTCCGCCATTGACCCCATTATCCTCAAAACACTAATTTTCTTAATCTATATAATCAAATTCCCAAAGAAAAACAACATGATATAATATAATCCAAACAAAAAGCAATAACAAAACAGAAAGAAAAAAAAAAAAAAAAAACCCAATTAAAATTGAGCAAAACTCACAGCAATAGGATCAGCAATTTTGATAGTAGCCTTAGTATCATCCCTAATCTTCTGAACCCTATGACCCCCTTTCCCAATAACCTTCCCAATTTGACCAGAAGGAACAACAACCCTAAACAAAATATCATTCCCCAAAGCTTGGCGTTTCGTGGAGGGAACCTCAGCCGAATCCGAAACGGGTTCTCGGGGACGTTTCGAAGAGGGGCGATCAGAGTAATGGGGTTGAGGGTAAGAGGGGTATTGAATTGGGGGTAAAGGCATGTGTTGAAGCTGAGAAACAGAGCCATAATCGGAGTATTGATGGGAAGGGTGGTGGTGGGGGTGGTATTGGTGGTGGTAAGGGATGTTTAAGGGTTGGTGATGGTGGTGGGGGTGCGGTGGTTGAAGCGGTGGATGTGGTGGTGGGATGTATTGATGGTGTTGTGTGTATGGTTGGAGGGTGGGGATTGATGGGTATTGTCCTTGTTGCGCCATTGTTGAGTTTTTTTTGGTAGCAAGAATATGAAGCAAGAAAGGGTATTTATATACAAAGTGTTGGTTTATGAAGGGGGAGTCCAAGGTGTGAAGGCGAGTCGGGTTCTATTATGTCGGATCGGGTATGGTTTTTGAAGTTTAGTCGTATGAAAGTCATTATGCTCATACAAGTTGAAATTTGAATTAACTTACTTTCAGATCAATTCGAAGCGGGTTGAGTTAGACATTTTAACACCACTCACAAACCCTCAATATTCTCCTATTTCTTTTATTGGTAGTGTAATTTTCCTTCTTAATCTGATACTCTCCTCGCCTTTATAAATTTGCCCAATACCAAAAATGAATGTCTTACAAGATTGCACCTTTGTTATTGTTTGTCACGAAGACCACACTTTTACTCTCACGTTATACTTTTAATCCTGCTATTTTTTTTTTATATAACTTGGCATGTGTACTAGCTTTGTAGAAACAAGAAACTATTAGGGGCGAAAACATTTATGATATAAGAAAGTGCTTGGGACTGATTAGTGATGATCGTTGACAAATTAAAGTAGCGCATATCTTTTGGGAATGTAATCGAGCGGCGGATTGGTTGGCCAATCGCAGAGTCATTCGAGACCCAACTAGAAATCTTTAATAATGTTCCGTTATAATTAAGTTACATTCAAGAGGAGGATACTAGAGGTGTTGCGATGCCACGCCTGTCCCTCCGTAAGTAGAGTTTTTTCTTTATGTTGGTTCTTTGCTTTTTGGTTGTTTTCTTTATCTCTATTTGATGCTTGTATCATCATTTGGATAAAAAAAAAACACTTTTGTCTCTTATCAACTCCACCCAACCAAAAGTTAAAAAATTAAAAAAAAAATGTATAAACGTCAACCAACATCAAGGGAATTCGAAATAAACCAATTGTTGCCAAAATTAAGAGAATAGAGTCAATAGGCATTAGGCACTAGAGATTAAAGAGTTAGGGTCTGTTCTCTTATGTTGAAATTCAGTTCAATTCAGTTGAGTTCAGCTCAGTTCAGTTCAGCTCACTTCAATTCAGTTCAGTTCAGTTCAGCTCCTAATTTCCTTCTCTTATAAAATATTCAGTTCAGTTCAGCTTAGTTCAGTTCAGTTCAGCTTAGTTCAGTTTAGTTTAGTTCACTTCAATTCAGCTGAATTCAGTCAATGAGAACAGACCCTTAGTCCAATTGTTAAAGAGAGAGCCCTAACAAATCTCTCTCAATGTACCTTCACAATGCGCCTGTTCTTCCCTTTCACCCCCTTCTCAAATCCTCTCTTTCAAGCCTTTCTTCGCCATTTCAGCTCCAACACAAATCTCCCAACTCTTGGCAAAATCCCCACTAAATATCGACCTCAAGCAATCAAAGAAGCTCAAGAAGTTGTCACAGATTATCTTCATACTACCAGTGCATTACCCTTTTCATATGCCGAGTTCATCAGCAAAAACTCCGTTCATTCTCTTGCTGAATTGATGTCAAAGGTAGATTTTTCATCCATTTATTTCCGCAAGAATTTTGAGAGGTTTCTCAGGTATAATCCTCTTCATGAATTTGGGTTCTTTTATGAAAGTATTGGGATTCATTATTGTAATATCAATGATTTTTTGAAGCCAAATGTGCATTTTTTCTCTGATGATTCAACTGTATTGAATGTTGCTTGTACACTTGCTGGATTTGGGTTTCCTTGGAATAAGTTGGGGAGATTGTATGTTGAAGAAATTTCAATTTTTGAGAAAAATCCCAAGTTTTTGGGGTCAAAGTTTAATGGGTTGTTAGCAATGGGGTTTAGTACTGAACAAGCTGTTGGTATTTGTTTAGGGTTTCCCTTTTTATTGAAGGGGGAAGAGGTTGGATTAAAGGGTGAATTTGATGAATTATTGGATGAATTGAAAAGGGTATTGATTGATTATGATTTGGGGGATGGATTAGTTGGAAATGTGGATCTTTGGTATGAGGTTTGTAGGAAACTTAGGCTTTTCTATGACTTGGGTGTCCCAAAAAGGGCGGTTGGAGAGTCGATTAGTAAGAGTTCTGTTGTTTTCACTGATTATTCAGAGAAGGTTTTGGCTGAGAAGGTGGAGTTCTTTTGTAAGTTGAGTGTTGTGAAAGCAGATGTTGGTTTGTTGCTTCTTTCCCATCCTGAGATACTGAGCATTGATATCGAAAATCGTGTAGTTTCTGTATCCGGATTTTTGAATCATTTTGGCTTATCCAAGAACGAACTTAAACTCCTTATGGAGAAATACTCTTATGTATTTGGTCGGAATAAGATGTCTAATTTGCCCCATATTCTTAGAGCCATGGATCTTCATGAATGGTTCTTCCATAATATGAAGTTGGGGAAGTATCCGTTATTTGGTGATTATGATTTGAGTAGTCCCGATGAAGGTGAAGACGCGAATTATGTACAGGAGATGGAGAACGTCAAATGCTTAAGACATTATAGTTATTTACTATGTAAGTTGAAATTTTTTCATGGCATTGGATTTGGAGAGCATGGTTTCACCATGAAGCTCTTAAAAGATGTACATGGTTCTGGTAGTGACTTACATGAGCGATTCGATCTCCTACTAAATGAAGGCATTGAGTTCTCCAAACTGTGCAAGATGATAAGTTATACACCTAAGATTCTTAATCAGGAGACGGACTCTCTTAAACGGAAAATTGACTTCCTTCGCCAGGAAGTCGGTTTATCCTTGGAGTTCCTGGAGACTTTTCCAGCCTATTTGATTTATAATTTAGAAAAGCGAATTAAGCCTAGATATAGATTTCATGTCTGGCTAGCTAAGCAGGGCTGGGTGAAAAAGAAGTACACTTTGTCAGGCATTATAGCTATAAGTAAGAAAGGATTCTTGGAACAACTTTCCTGTATACATCCAACAGCACCTCAATTATGGTTGGAGCAATGCGAGCAAACGAAGACAAGTGAATCGAAGAAAGTATCATAAGGCGGTTTCCAGCTCAGAATGTATAGTGAGCAATGAAAGTTCTTCAGAGTTTCTAAGCACTTATTATTGATAGGTTCATATTATTCAAAGAAAACATATACGATTATTTTTGGGCCTATGATTTATTATTTTAAAAAAGAAGTAAATTCTTTGGTCACAGATTCAGTTCAGTTTCATAACTTGAATTATTCAAAGAATAATATTTTGTGACTTTATCAGAGAGCCTATCCTCCTCATGTGTTGCTATGAACCTGATTTCTGCTTGTTCAGATGGAATTACATGTCTCTCAGATGATTATAGCACAAGAGATGGCTGTGAACATATTTCAGTCTGTTCAAAGGTAATCCTGGGATGAATTGCTGGATACAAAAGTTGCTTGCGCCTGTACTTATGTGATGTTAATTAGGTTTCCCTTTACTATAGCAGCTTCTTCCCCTATCCCGTCTCACCACAACATGTCAGTGAGAAAACCAGGATGTGCTTGAAAATCTAACCATGATCTGAATTTGTTTCAGGAGTTGTGACAACTATCCTCTACGCATCAGAATACTGTATATGCTTATTTATTTTTGGTGGGAGGGAGCAATCCTGTCTTTAAGAAGTTGCATCCATTAGGACCATCAACTACAAAGCTCCTGCCTAAAGTAGTTTAAGGTGCAGGGCGTGGGTCACGAGTACATGACATTTCTTTGAGCATGATAAAGCTTCAGCTACCGAAGCTGCTATGGGTCATTGATTGACTAACATTTGCAGGCTCATCAGGTGATCATTTCAGGCCTTTGTCCTTGGAAGATATGTAAGAGTGTAAGTTAGAAAAATACAAGTAGGAGATACCATGAGGTCTGTTAAGTAAAGCTAAATTTAATAATTGGTTAGATTTTCAAGCACATCCTTGACAAAGCTCTTGTATAGTATGGAGTTCACAACTTATAGTTCCTGCAGTCTGCACGAAGTGTCGAAGTTTGATTCAGCTTCAGCATATTCTGATTTCTAAGCTTGTTTATCAATACCTACAACAATATAATATGAGGGTTTGTTCCTCAATAAGGTTCATTATAATGTTGAGCTTGTTAGCCTTTTCTTTTATGCAATTTCTTGTATCCTTCAGAATACTTGGTAAATGGTGATCGTCACCCTTTAAACTTTGCTTATTCTGTTCGAATATAAACAGGTTGCTCCATCGAGTCGTCCTCAACTTGTAAGAAGTGCTCCATAGTAAACTAGCACACCAATGTATCATAGTTTATGACAATTGTCAACAAAAAAAACTCTTGCTTATCATTATGTTGATTACAAACCTAAAATTTGTTCATGTCCTACACATACCTAGACCGTACTACCTCTTAAGTATTAAGATGTGAATTTAACTCAAATCAAGAATGGGACTTTCTAAACGACCTTTTCAAACAAAATACGACAACTATGCAGCGATGAAAGTAAGATCAAAGCATACTATGAAACTTAACTCTATCCTCGACTCACCCTAACCTCCATCCTAATATTCCAAACAACATTTATTAGTCTATAATTCTCAAAATACATCCAAATTTTAACTTATATGCCAAATAATACATCCATTTGGTACAATCAAGTGAAAAGAGAAGCGTTGTAACTTAAAAACCGAGAAAGTATAAATAATAATTAATGAAGCTTTAAAAGAAGTAAAAATTGGGAGACTAGAAATAAACTCTCCTAAAAGGCCAAGTTCAAGAAAATGAGATGAAAATGGAGGAAAAGAGTAGTAGCAGCGTCAACAACGACGGAGTTAAGCTCGGGATTGAAGAAGCATGGAAGTGGGTTCCGAGTGGGACCCACTGGTGGTGGGTCGTAGCTAGCGCCGCCCAATTAGGGTGGGGAATCAAGTCCTACAAAAAAGGGTTTACCGGAGATTGCCGGTTTATGCCTGCCAGAGCTTTCGGCGTCGCCTCTCTCTTCGTCGGCGCCGCCGCAACCGCCTCCGTTTGCGCCCTTTCCGCCGCCGGCATTCATAATGTGAGTTTTTTGGGAATATTTGTTGGATTTTTAGCTCTAATTTTATCAATTTTGGAAATTTTTGATTAATTTTTTGTTGGGTTTTGTTGGTTGAATGTAAATTGATTTGGGTTTGTTTAGTTGATCATGGTTGAAATTGGTTTGCATTTGAAATGAGGATCTGGGGTTTGTTTATTGAAGAGTTTAATTTGGTGTTTCAGCTGATTATTTATTTATATTTGTGTTAATTATGCTGTTAATTGTTAAAATTTTGAATTATTGAATGTTAAATTGGGAATGTTGGTTTTTTTAGGTTGTTGCAATGTTAACTGAATTCTGAAGTGATCCCAAATGCAAATACAATCTCCTAATTACAAACCCCTTTGGCCTTCTCTTGTTTAGTTTCTCATTTGATAGATACAAAAAGATTAAAAAAGAATCTCTTTACCAAAGTCGAAAGCGATCTTAGGGAATATCTTGAAGTGATTGAGATGGATGAAGTATTAGGTTTGGAGAAGTTTTGGTTCAACTTGTTAGGTAAACTATACCCTGAATTGATCAAAATGTATGTCTTCAACCTTATCAGCTTCTAGTTAAGACTCTATGAAACAATTAATCAAGCAGTGTATTGTGATTCCACTTCATATCCATGAACTCAATGCTGGGGGCTTGCCATTCGGCCAGAACTTCCGTTGTGTACCTGGCCATTTGCTAATTTTTATGCCCGCTTGCTTGACAGTTCAGATAGCTTACATTAAAATGATCAATTGTGTACAAAAACTACATTTGGTAAAAACTTTAGGTACACCAATGAATGTGCACCATTCTGTTTCAAGGAATAAGGAATGCTGATAAGTTAGAGGTGTTAAGATGTACAAGAGTAGTCTATTTTGAGCAGGAAGGAATGGAAAAGTTCATATCATCGTTCTGTTATATACCTGAGCCCTAGTCAATCTGCGAAACAACTACTTTTTCTTGTGGGAATGTATGATTGATTAATTCATTTAATTGTTCTGATAATTGTTTCATATAGGAGTCACGCTCTTGTTTTTCGATCCTTTCATCATTGAACTCATCACCATTGTCTATTCAAGATTAGATCAAAAATCAACCTGATGTTGGTTGATTGTGCTATTTCTGATTTTATTTCGCAGTATCTACTTCTCTTTAGATTTTAGGCTCCTCTGGATTCCTATGCAATGCTTACCATTCAATTAATTTCAACTGAAGTGTAGTGGTTTCTGACTGAAATTTTCCAACACATTTTGCATATTTTTATTACATACCCCTTTGGCTTTGCCTCTTGTTTGAATCCCAATTTCAGAATTTCTGGTCAACAATTATCATGCAAACTTTTGCATTGAATGTTTCTGTGTTACTTATCCTAATAAGTTGCACATCTTTTTTAGGTGGAAGATATGAAAGAAGCTGGTGCTAATATTAGGACGGGACTGGGTGTTCCTCCTCGAACCAAGGCCAAATAACATCATCTTTGGCTATTCAATATTAAGATCTTACTTCTTAAAAACAAGATTAGGTGCACCTTGTTCGAATCAACCCGAAGACTTCCTTACCAGGTGTATTTCAGCTCCAAAACAGAGTTGAAGGACACATTGCTCTTTCTTTTTGGGCATAGCTAAAGGAAAATTCGACGCACGTGCTTGTAATGGCCTTTTTTTTTTTTTTTTTTTTTTTTTTTTTTTTCCTTTTTCTTTTCCTCAGCTTCCTTTCTTAGGCTTTGCATCTACAATCAGTGTCAATGGTTTAACATTTATATGCAGTAAACTCTCAATTTTGCCAATCTACATTATATTTTCTTCCTGATTATTCTTCAACTCACCATGTCACCATTGTACTACACTAAGATAAATTTTCAGAGGCACTCGGGTAGTTTGACTTATACACATGAGGAAGTTTTTTGTGTTTTTTTTTGGGTGATCATAAAGTTTCACAATTATTAAGCATGATTTATTTTTAATGTTGAAAGAAAAGTTATGCATTTTCAAGATGATGGTGAGCATATGGTAATTAATGTTATACGGAGTAACAAATTTTAAAGGTATGACTTAAAACCAATAGGTAATTTTTTATTTTTTATTTTTTAAAATCACCCTCTTTCAAGGCCCTATGATTATAAAAGTTTACTTTACAACAAAATATAAGTTTAAAAGACAACCAGCAAACACAATTAGTCTAAGCTGATAGGAAACAATATTTCTAAGGTCTATTCAGTAAGCATATTAGAGCTAATTACATTTGGAACAGAAAACTTGGAAAATTATACTAAAAATATCCGCACCAAAACGCTAAAACTCGGTTCGGTAAAAATGAAATTCGTTACAAATCGCCCAAATCGTGATGGTGCGGCCGCATTTTTGAACCATGATGAGAGGTTGTCGAAAGAGGTAATCAAGGTCTATCGGAAGAATGATAGGTTGATAAGGGTGAAGTTGCTATGTGGCAAGGAGATTGTGAATGTTATTAGTGCTTATGCTCCCCAAGTTGGTTTGGATACAGAAGAGAAACGACAATTTTGGGAGGAGTTAGACGAGGTGGTACAGGGTGTCCACCACAGTGAAATTATATATTGGAGGTGATCTAAATGGGCATGTTGGGCCGAGTCGAGAGGCTACGAGAGTGTTCATGGAGGATTTGAGTTAGGCAGAGGGACGTAGGTGGTGAAGCTACTATGGATTTTTCCCAATCATATGACTTAATTTTGGCTAATACTTGGTTTAAGAAGCGGGATTCACACTTGATAACTTTTCGGAGTGGACCAAATGCAACACAAATAGACTTCCCAATCACAAGGAGCACGGATAGACAAAGTTGTTTAAACTGTAATGTCATGAAGGATGATTTAGTGAATGGCAAATAGAGAAGCAATGGGACGTGGCACATCATTTCCTAATTTGTAACAAACACATGGACAACAGAGCAAAACCAAAATAAAAAAGATAAGAGCAATTTGGTAATTTCACTCAAGGGGCTATCCATTATTTCTCATCAACAGTAAAATTGGTATTTGAAGAAGTTTTTTTTTTGGCAGAACTCAGAAGGAGGGATCTTTTGAGAAGTTACTCCGTGTTATACTTGAGTTGTAGGTTAGTAGGCTCAAAAATCCATATTTTTCCATTGAACGAAGCGCAGTTGACGTTCTCCGTTGGATCGAATACTTGTATCCCCAATGAAGCGGGCAAGTTGATTGTTTTTGTTATCATCATATCAATTTCTCAATCTTTCATCTGATCTAATTTAATTGTCAGTCGAAATTGGTTGTAAATTCTAAGATTACCGTCAGAAAAGTATATTTTGATTATTGAATCCTAAAAATAATGTATTTTTCGAGGTTGCTAATGTATTGCACAACCCTTTAATGTTCTAGATTGATAATCAGGGATGTTTCAAGCATTGGAGGTGCTCAAGATTGATGTCAACCTTGGTCTTCACCAAGCTTCCACTATGCCATCCTTTCGTCTTCCAAACTTGAAATTACTATACCTCTTTGGCACTGTCATTAACGATCATGGCTTTCTGCCAAGGTTAGTTTCAAGCTGCCCTTTACTTGAAGACCTCAGAGTGGAAGTATTTTGGAATCATGGCTGCACCCTAAACATCTCTTCGCTTTCTCTTCGGAGGTTGTGTTTCATCTTGATCATACATATAAAAACACTGATTTTCTGCTTATTGATACTCCTAATTTGGAGTATCTTCATTATAGTGGTAATTTACCAGTACACCACTCTATTACAAACATGGATCATCTGGTTGAAGCACAACTAACTATTGGGGGTACCATGAGGGTCCTTGGTTTGACGACACATCCTCTTCAACTAATGCTTAGCCTTATCAAAGTCTTCAATAACGTTCTTTTGTGTTATTGTTATTTTTCTAACTCTTGGGATAAAGTAGTGTTGGCATTTCTAAATCATTCGCCGGTGTTGGAAACACTTGTTTTTCCCGGGGTTAGTCTTTGACTTCACTTTGGTATTAATTTTGCGTACATAGAATAAATTCAACTTTGCAGGGATTAAATGGATGCTGTATAGCATGCAGTATGAATGAAGTGGTGCCTTGTACTTGCGGCAAGGGGACACTGGAGGAACAAGAGTTTTTCAAAAAAACTCTAGCAGTAACTCCTTCATGTTGCAGATCTCATCTTAAAAGAATTGAGATTGATGAGTACTATGGGAAGGAGCGGGAAGTAAATATGATAGTGTTTTTGTTGAGACATGCTTTTGTGTTGGAGAAATTGATCTTAAGCAAGGGGTACCAAAGTGTTCCAGTAGCAAATGAAGTGACGCTCACAAGAGCATTGCAGAATTTACCAAGGGCCTCGGCTACATGTTCAATTGAGTTCAGAATCAGAAAACAGCCTCACGAAAGGTTCAGAGTATGGTGGAGAGCAGGATGTTAGTGGAAAGGGATTTTATCTCTTGTTGTCTTGGATGTAACTTGATTTCTTTTAATATATTCCCCATCTTGTTTTCAAAAAAAATAAGTTATACATTATACTTATTATTGTTAAGAGTTATATTTTTAAGCTTATATGTTTGTGTATTGACTATGAAATGAATTCTTTTTTGTTGTATACTAGTCATTGGAGTGCGTGGCTGCTCCATCTGTTATAAAATACTTGCTCCATTTTTCATTTCCGGCCATTTTTACATTTATATGCAGTAAACTCTCAATTTTGCCAATCTACATTATATTTTCTTCCTGATTATTCTTCAACTGACCATGTCACCATTGTATTTCACTATCATAAATTTTCAGAGGCACTCAGGTAGTTTGACTTATACTCATGAGGAAGTTTTTTGTTTTGTTTTGTTTATTTTTTGGTGATCATAAAGTTTCACAATTATTAAAAATGATTTATTTTGAATGTTGAAAGAAAAGTTGTGCATTTTCAAGATGATGGTGAGCATATGGTAATTAATGTTATAGAGTAACAAATTTTAAATATTTTGAAAAATTCACGAGATTAATCCCAACTATTGGTGGTCTTCCCATATTAATTCCAACTTAGGATTATTATGAAATAATCCAAATTATGAAGGGTGCCTTCCAAAATCACGAGATTAATCTGGTATGACTTAAAGTTAAAACCAATAGGTAATTTTTTATTATTTAAAAATCACCCTGTTTCAAGGCCCTCAGATTATAAAAGTTTAACCATGAAGTACAGTAAATAACTTTCACTTTACATTTCAAGAATCAATGGTGATAAGAAGATAAAAAAAATACTTTATCCATTATCATGACGAATATTTTATTTTATTTTCTATCCTTTAAAACAACAAAATTCCTCAACACAAATGAAGTGTACATGTATCAACAAATCATCGTGTATGTCAAAACATGTAATTAAGAATCAACTTAAAGTTGGTAAGTAGTCCAAATTAACAGGAACATATTCACTAAGCCACATATATGCTATAATTGGGGAAAAAAATGTAATTATTGATTCCATTTTTCTATCCTATAAATTGAGAGGTTGGGAAAGATTGAAATTTGCAATACAACAATACACAACAACATAACACAAATTTCATACGCAAAAATGATGAATTCCTGTGCTCAACAGAAGAGCATGCCTGGAGGCCTTGTGCCTGCCGACCCAAACAGTCCAAAGATCCAAGAGATTGCTGCTTGGGCTGTTGGGCAGTACAACAAGGAACAAGTAAGCTCGCTCTCTCTTTTTTTAATTATCCTTTTTACCTTTTTATATGCAACTAATCATGACCAGTACTCCCTCCGATCCATTTGTTGTGAGTGAAATGTTTCGACTTTTTGCACTATTCACCTAATCTACTCTGCCAAATTATAGTAATTTATACTTAAGAAAAAAATATATAGTTTTGTAGATATTTGTTGGAATCGTCTCAATCACTTGTACCATGCATGGATATAGTAAGAAAGTAAAAGAGGGAGTAGTGGGAGAAAGGAATGGATTTTATTACCTTTTGCCTTGAGGGTGTATTTATAAAACCTAACTTATTCAAATCGTAACTACTTTCTACTCATGTATCCCAATATTGATGGATTTGGGATTCCCTTAATCCCTTATCCTCACCTGGTCACCCCTTTTACTCTTAAACGTTGACTTTTACATGTAATTGAGATGGCTAACTTGTAAAAGGTGTTGATTACAGTAAGTTATAAGGTATTTCTCCGTACCAAAATAAATAAACAAACCTAGTCCACATACATCTTTAGGTGAATTGTTATGTTGTCGAGGGATGACTTGTTTTTAATTTATCAAGATATGTAAGTATCTCATTTATATATGTGTATGTAATTTGCAGGGAACATGCCTTGAGTATGTGAAAGCTCTGAAAGCGGAACAACAAGTGGTTGCTGGTATGATGTACTACATTGAGCTCGAGGCGGTTGATGGTTGCTTGATGAACAAGTATTATGCTAAAGTTTTTGATCAGTCATGGACCCAAACCAGAAAGCTCGAGGAGTTCAAGTGTCTGCTCCAAGAAAATGATCGTGTCGCCGTTGCCAACTAATGTTCAACCACACACTCTAAGCTATATCTAAGCTAGATAATGTACGCAATATATAGTGCAAGATAATAAACAGGACATAGGAGTGTGATGTACATATATATAGTTACATCAAAACTACTATGAACTACTACTATTTCCAAATTAAAGTCTGTCTTACATGACTTATTTAGGTTATGTAAAACCACTATGAACTATCTAATTAAAATGTTTTTATGAATTTGGCTTATATATGATATATGCATGCATTGCTAGCTCGTTTTCCATATATAGAAGACTGCGAGGCTTTGTTTTTCATCCCAAAAATTATAACTCGTAAAAGACCAAGAGAGCCTATAAGTTCAGATCATTAAATGATAAATTCAAATATGAGCTATTCAAGTTCAAAATTTAAGCACATATATAGTTAATGCAGAAGATGTAAGTATAAGCTCAAATTTGCTCCATATAGGGACAGAGGGAGTAACAGAAAAGATGAATGAAAGCTTAATTAGGATTGAGAAACATAATTAGGGAATACACGCCGATGTTTGTAATAATTAATGAGCAATATGGCTCTAATATGTATTTAGTTAATTATCAAACTATAGGATATTATTCTTTCAAGTTGAGTAGACCGAGGCCTTAAATTGTAAAGAGTTAACCGTACATAGAGAATAATAAATCACTTTCATTTCACATTAACAGATGACAATAAGATAAGATTCTTTCAACGCAATCGCGAAGAATAATATTTTATCTTTTCTAATTTCCATTATTTAAAACAGCAAATGATATACATGTGTATTACCAAAGCAACATGTAACTAGGAATCGAGTTAAAGCTACTAGATGGTCCAAATTAACAAGAATATATTCACTAAGGCACATATAGGCTAATAACAAGAAAATGAATTGAAATAATTGATGAACTGCTTCCATTTTTGAACCCTATAAATTAAGAGGCCGGGTTGTCCAACACATTACGCACAATACCAACACATACAATACAACGATATACACAATGCAAGTACATACATTGCAATTTCATACGCGAAAATGAGTTCCTCAGCTCAAGAGAAGAAGCCTGTTGCTGGAGGCAAACGTGTGCACGTCGACCCAAACAGTCCAAAGATCCAAGAGGTATCCGCTTGGGCTGTTAATTAGTACAACAATGCAAGGAACAAGTAAGTTTTTAATTTATCATGTGACTTTACATTATTATTATTATCTCCGATTTAATTTCAAAATTATTTATAAATTAACAAATTAATTACGTACTCCCTGAAATATCATTATTATTTCAGGGAACAAACCTGAAGCTTGTAAGTGCTTTTGACGCACAAACAGAAAAGGTTGATGGTGTGATGTACTATATTGGTCTAGAAGCAACGGATGATGGTTAGCCTTCGCCGAACCCTGATCTGAGAGGAAATTATTCAGCTACGGTTTTTGAGAAGGACAATACCCTAGCCTTGGAGCTTGTAGAGTTCAAGCCACTCTATCAAGGCAATGCGCGTGTCGCGGTAGCCAACTAGGCTGGCCTTCAACAGTTCAACATTCATACTATAATCTCTGATTAAGTATGCAATGCGCAGATTTTTTTTTTTTCGATTTGGTGTGCTTATATTAGTTACATCATAAATAAAACTATGTATCTCGTGAAATAAAGTACCAGTAAAAGTCTTGCATGACTTGGTTTATGTACTACTTGTAAAACTCTCGAGCATTTTACATGTATACATCCTCTACTAAAATTTGGTGCTGATAAACATTCCCTCTTTATTATATAATAAGGCCTAGTTTTAAGATTTATATAAGAACTAGTTTAGTGCCCCGTGCGATGCCCGGGTTGTTTATTGAATTTTAGAATAAATTTTTAATCTTTATAAGATTTGCTAGATTGTGAAGTATATTATTTTAACCGTTTAGTATATATTAAAATAATTTATTTGAGAATTTTTGAGAATTATAATCTAATAATTTTGTTAATAGAATTATAATTGAATTTGTACATTTGAAATATTGGTATTTTATCGAAAATAAAACTAATATTATCCTAAAATTCTATCCAAATAGAATTCTAAATTAACTTTTTTATTTTATTTTATGAGGTCTATTTAAATCTATCCAACGTGGCGCGACACTTGGCGAAAAGTTAGAACGCCAAGTGTCGCTGTCTCGTGACCTGGCTAAAAGTTTAGCTTTATATATTAGTTATATATGATTTATGAGTGTTATATTTTTTTTAATAAAATTATAATTTAATTTGTACATATGAAATATTGGTACTTTATTGAAAATAAAACTCTAAATTAACAATTTTATCCTAAAATTCTATCCAAATTTGATTGAAAATAGAATTCTAAATTAAATTTTTCATCCTACAAATTGAATTCTATATAACTCTATCCTAGTTTTGTGCCCCGTGCGATGCCCGGGTTGTTTATGGAATTATAAAATAAATTTTTAATCTTTATACGATTTGCTAGATTGTGAAGTATATTATTTTAACCAGTTAGTATATATTATAAATGTATGTTTTACGATTTGAACTATTTCCTTTGCCTAAAAAAATATTATGATACAAAAAATAATTTATTAATTTTTAAGAATTATAATCTAATAATTGAATTTGTACATTTGAAATATTGGTATTTTATCGAAAATAAAACTAATTTAATCCTAAAATTCTATTTAATTATATCCACATAGAATTCTAAATTAACTTTTTTTTATCGTATGAGGTTTATTTAAATCTATCCAACGTGGCGCGACACTTGGCGAAAAGTTAGAATGCCAAGTGTCGCTATTTCGTGACCTGGCTAAAAGTTTAGCTTTATATATTAGTTATATGATTGTTCGTACTAAATTGAGTGTATTAAGTCCTTATATATTATACACACACACACAAAAAAAAAAAAAAACATGTATATATGTAATGGTTTATTATATTGGTTCTTCTTTATTACTGTATATAAGTCAACTCTTGAGAAGTTTAATGTTCATCTAAAACAACTGAAAGATATTTTCATGTACTTAAAAATGAGCCAGACTTAGTTGATATATGATATCAACAAACTTTTGTTAATATCACAATTTTTCTCTCTCCTCCCCTCACATGACCAATTTTTCTTTCTCTCTCCTCCATTCCCATGGCCACTACTTCTTTCTCTCTCCTCCATTCTCATGTCCAAGGTCGACTATATACGCGGATCTACGGCGGCCGATCGACAGGCCAAAAAAAGACTCCCTAGTAGCAATTTATGAAAATGTCGAAAGTTGGTGCAACGGCCTGTGGTGGTCGGCTGGGGTGGTGCTGTGAGTGGTAGCTAGTGGTGTTGCGGCGGTTGAATGTTGGTGCGGCGACCGTGTGGTGGTCGGCAGGGGTCAATTCGTGAAGGTTAAGGTGGTGCTATGGGTGGTAGTAGAGGTTGCACGGTGGTGATAGAGGGGAGAAAAAGGGAGTGTGGTTGCTAAAATTACAATATTACCCTTGGTGTGGTAGCTAAATTTACAAAATTAGCCTTAATATTAACAAGTTTTGTTGATATCTATCTGATATCAACTTGTATTTACTCCTTAAAAATTGGTACACTACTAATGTCAAAAGGCTATGAGTTGTCGTACATGTTTTTAAAATGTGAAGCACAAATCTAGGTGAAGTTAATTATATCTAGTGGAGTATTATGTATGTTGTGTTTTAAGTGATTAGTACACTTAAATTATAACTTTTCAAACACCCCTCTCATGCATGGCAAAAACTTGTGATTTAGGTTGTTACAATGTTAGACTTAATTAACTGTCAAGTGATCCCAAATGCAAATACCATTAGAATTTCCTGATTACAAACCCTTTTTTATAGCTAGTTGTCCATTTGATAGATCAACAAAAAAAAGAAATTTCAACACGTACTTTTTGCCTATTTTTATTGATTGAAATTAATTTTAATTGATGTACATCATAATCTGAAGTGATCAAGGCCGTAGAAATCTAACCATGAAGTATAATAAATCACTTTCATTTCACAAACACGATAAAAAGAATCAATGGCGATAAGAAGATAAAAATTCTCACTTCATAATCGTGAGATTCTTGACAAATATTTTTTTTTTAATTTCCTTTTAAAATAACAAATGCAGTGCACGCGTATAGCAACAAATGAAGTGCACGCGTATCATCGGATAATCAGAATAACAAGTAATCAACTAAAAGTTGATAGGTCCAAATTAACAAGAATTTATTCATTATTTAATAAGCCACATAAGCTGATCGATAAAAAAGAAATTATTAATTCCATTTTCCTATCCTATAAATAGAGTGGGTTTGCAAAAGATGGAGTTCCGCAACACATACATACAATACAACAATACACATAACACAAAATCATACGCAAGAATCATGAGTTCCTCTGCTCAACAGAAGAACATCGCTGAAGGTCGTCATCCTGTCGACCCAAAGGATCCACACATCCAAGAGATTGCTGCTTGGGCTGTTGCTGAGTATGACAAGGAACATGTAAGTTTTTGTAAAACAAATACTTGTCACGACAAACAAAAATCTATCAACAATACTATGTAATGGAACATATATGCATAGGTAAATTTGTCGTGCATTCGGGCTTAATATGTTTATTTAATCCTCGTCGTAATTTGTAGGGGAAACACCTGGTGTATGTGAAGACTTTAAAAGCAGAAGAAGAAAGAAACATTGGTAGCACGAGGTACTTTATTGATCTTGAGGCTTCTGATGATTGCAAGATTAACAAGTATTCTGCGAAAGTTCTTGAAATAGAAAATCAAGCTCATACTAAGAAGCTTGAAGAGTTCAAGCAAAAAGAAAATGCACCCATCCTGGTTGCTAACTAATCTCCATCTTCAACAATAAATATGCAGGGCTAAGAAGCCATTTTTGGTGTGCTTATTATATAAGTTACATCAATATATATATATATTACTACGACGCATGTATTATGTACTAGTGAAATAAACAAGTCTTGGAAGACTTGATTTATGCACTAGTACTACTGTGTAATACTACTATTACCTAAATAAAACTGTCAGTGGTTGGATCTTAATTCTTAATTGAATCTATATAAGTTTGCATTCACATTTCATATTTGATTATCTACTGTAGTATAAACTTACTAAACAACACATGTAAACGTCCCACTACTCATTAAGAAAAGAAAAAAGAGATAAACACTTTATAATAATAAGACTAAGGGATTGCTTCTCCTATTATTGTCATATGGTTTTGGAATGAAACCTCCTTGGACTTGTAAAGTGGAAATACTCCGATATTTTTATTTACGAATTAGCATGCATAAGAAGTCAAAGTTTAGTTAAATCAAGTAATTAGATCGAATCATTTAATGAAAAAAAAGTAATTAGATCGAATCATTTAACGAAAAAAAAAGAAAGCAAAAAAACTCCGATCACACTATGTAAACAATAATAAGGTGTACTAAACACGGCCTTACTCCTCTCACTTAATTAATTGTTCCATCTATAAAATCTGCTCTTGTGATCTCAAAGAGAAGTACGAGTGCTTCTTTACCCTATGAATATAAGAAATATTATGAGTGCTCGTGTTAGCCTTATATTGCAGTGCTTTAGTATTTGGGTTCACGTTATTTTGGGGATCTATCATCCTTGTGGTCTGTTTTGGTTTGTAGGTTTGGCCTTGGCTTGTTGTTTGTATGTTTTTACCTCTTTTGATTTGTTAGTTCAAAAGAGTTTAAGAATTTATCTCTTGGTAATCTTTTTATTAGCAAGTGTTGGATTTTTAATCTAATACTATGAAAAACCTTTATCTTTAACTATGCTCTTCAAAATGGGGCTCCCATCATTTTTATTTTATTTTTTTGGGAAGATTTAGTGTATATGATAATGATCACTTACGTTGAGAAGAAGTTAAAGATACCCACAGTTAAAGGTACCAAATCACTTGTAAAAGTGACTCGGTTTTTATTGTCAAGCCTGAATCATCTTATTTTCCTACCTCTTTTACCTAATTTTCATGACTTTTTATTTGGTGTCCTTTTGAGCTCATTTTGTTTTTTTCTAAAGGTTATATGTTATCTGCTCTTCTCCTCTTTCACCAAGTTCAATGCAATATGGAATAAAAATCAAACAATAATGGCGTTGGTTGATATCTCATGACACATGTTCGAAGTTAAGGCAAATAGTAGTGTTTGGGTTCAATTATGCCTAATTGGGCCCGGTCATTAAATGATTCAATCCAAGCCAAGGTCAAGGCCCAAGCCTCCAACCTGCCAAGTCAATGTCAAGCTAACGGCCCAAGTCATCATGGTCATCCCATATGATCTCAAGCCCATCCTTTCTCCTTGTCATGCTAAGGTATAAAAACCTTCAATTACACCATTTATGGAGCATTCACATTCAAGCCTCAAGCATTAAATCTCTTGCATAGCTTTCTCTCTCTAAACACTATTTGACTTCGGCATCGGAGGGGCCTTCCTCGGAACCACCCCCGAGACCAGTTTACATGTGTTTGCTGTGCAGGAAACCCTCGGCCCAACATCATTTGAACCGAGTCAGTCTTCATCCACATCTTAGGACCTTCAGCTAGGTCCCATTGTTTTCATGCGAAACAAGTAGAATTTTCTAACCGGAAGTTTCTTGTAAGGAAGTTGTAATATAGTTTTATTTGTAATGCTTGTAACAATATTAAAACTGATAGGGCTTCTTTGGGTAGTTCAATGAACACACTACGTACCTTGTAACATTAAATTTATTTTGTCTATTAAGCTTATGCCAAAAAAATATGTAAGAAATACAAAGTTCTAAACGTGGTTGGCCACACCGTGTGGCAGAGGTTACTTTGTCAAGGATTACGTGGTTGGTTAAGGATTACTCGGTACGGTTAGAGGTTACTTGTTCGGTCAGGGGTTATTCGATTAAGGGTTACCCGATCAGTATTTTGGTGTGTGTCAGCCAGTCATATGATGTGGCCAACCACACAAAAAAGGCATAATATATGAAATCATTCATTTCTTAATTAAAAAAAAAGAAAAAAAACTAAAGCCGCTCACTTTTGACATGTAGCTGGGAACTTTAATTATATTGCAAGCAAGTCCTTATAATTGAACCATTAGAGATGCTCTTATTGACCTGCCCTTGAAATCATTTTCAGTGCATATCAAAATTATTGACAACATTCTGGATAAAAAAAATATTCCATCCCTTTATACTACGTAGTACCTAGTTTCTTTTATATTTGTCTCATTTGAAATATTCGTTTTCAATAAAGAGAATACGTTGACCATGATGGTTAGGTTCATTAACAAGCTAAGGAGTATTTACAATTTTCTTTTAACAATAAGTAAAATTTATATCAATTAAATATTAATAAATTATTTATTGAGACGTTTTCAATAAGTCCTCACAAGACTATATTTATTCTTATATATAAATAAAAAACATTAGTAAAAATTAATTAGATAAATGTACACGAAGTCAAAATATTTCGCTTATTAAAATAAGAAGTGAGTTAGCAACTAAGGCCACAAAATTCTAGTTTGCTTATCCTGCTGCCCAAAAAAAAAAAAAAAAAAAAAAGCCCTTGCTACACGATCAATATTCAATAGTACGTATAATTTAACAAGAGTATAAGTCACTAGGCCACTTATGTAGAAGATTCAAAATAAAGAGAGCAAAAATGTGATTCTTGATTACAAATCTCATCCAATTAGTTGAGATTCTCAACCTCTTATTGTTATGATGTTAAATACTTCTATGCATTTCTAAGTGTAAGGACAATTACATACATTCTTAAAATGTTTATATGATGTTAATTGTCTTTAAACTTTTCATTGTGTGATTTATTGAGGCCAATTGACTAGATTGGTAAACGAAAATGACCCTTAGAGGATAATTTGGTAAAGAAATAACTCCGGCAATAATTCGGTAAAAAAAAAAATTTCAAGCGACAATTAACCAAAATAATGCAGAAATTTCTGACAACCTACTCACAAATGTTTAATTTAGTTTGTTTTCCGTGTTTTTTTTTACCGAAAAAAATTTCCCCGCCTAATTTTCCAACCTTTTTTTTAAGGAAATTACAATTTTTTGAAGAAAAAAATGTTTAAATATTATTATTTACTTAATTTTCCTACCCTTTATTAACAATTTTTTTAATATATAAAAAAATTGGTATATGAATTCAGCGTAATTTTATGGGAAAAATAAATTTTAAAAACACAAAAACGAAATAAATTAGGATTTTTTTAAGGGTTTATCGAAAAAAATAGAAATTTTGGTCCGAACGTCCCTTGAGTTTATTGTTTTTACCAAATTGTAGCACATGGTTAGCTTTTTTTTTTTTTACCAAATTGTCACCGGAGACCCGAAGTAAGTTTTTTCTTACCAAATTGTCGCTAAGGGTGTTTTATAATTACCAATATGGTCTATTCGCCGATTGTATCTGTCCTTACTGGGTGTGGCCGTGTGGTTCAGCTCTAGAACACGAGTTTAAGGACGGTAGTCAAAGTACACATTGCTCTTTAATTATTTGCATAATTGTAGGGAAATTGGACAAACGTGCTTGTGCATGCTATGGCCTTGATCGTTTTTTTTCCCCTTTTCCTCAACTTCCTTTCTTAGGCTTTGCATCTACAATCTTTTTTTTTTCATTGTTTTTTTCACAATTATTTAGCACGAATTATCTTGATTATGGAAGAAACGTAGTTATATATTTTCTTAAATTGTTAATACTTTGAAGGCTTTCACAATGATGGATAGCATATGATATGGTAATTAATGGTATAACAAATTTAATTTTTTTGTTACTTAAATCGGTAATGCGCGCCATATTCTTGAGGAAATGTTGTAGTGCCTTGAGCTTGTGCAATATGCTAATCACTTTGATGACTTGTTTTTTTAAGTTTCAATTATAGTGACCTAATGTTAGAATTATTATCACTAACCTGTTAAATTAATTTGGCACTTGTATTAACTTAATCAATACTGTTGTTGTTAGGCCATAAGTGTGGTTCTAATGAACCTTTTTTTTTTGGGTTGCTAAAACATTGAACTAATTTTTCTATTAGATTTTTTTTTTTATCCTTACTGATTTTTGGGGTTAGTGGTTAGAACTTTTTTTTTTTTTTTACCGATTTGGAACTTTTTCCTTCTTTATCATCTAAACTGATTTTCATTGATTGAAATTAATTTTAATCAATGTACATCATTCTCTGAAGTGATCAACATCATAGATTATAAAAATCCAACCATGAAGTATAATAAATCACTTTCATTTTACATACACGATAAAAAGAATCAGTGGCGATAAGAAGATAAAATTCTCACTTCATAATCGTGAGATTCGTGACATATATTTTCTCCTTTTTTTATTATTTCCTTTTAAAACAACAAATGAAGTGCACGCGTATCATCAAAACATCGTGTATGGTCAGAATAACAAGTAATTAAAAAATCGACTTAAAGTTGGTAGGCGGTCCAAATTAACAAGAATATATTTATCATTTAATAAGCTGATCGAATAAAAAAGAAATTATTGATTCCATTATCCTATCCTATAAATAGAGAGGGTTTGCTAAAGATGGAGTTCCACAACACATACATACAATACAACGATACACACCCTACATAACACAAAATCATACACAAAAATGAGTTCCTCTGCTCAACAGAAGAACACAGGTGGAGGTCATCATGAGGATATCGACCCAAACGATCCATACATCCAAGAGATTGCAAAATGGGCTGTTGATGAGCATAACAGCCAAAAGGTAAATATTTGTAAACTAATACTTGACATGTCCAACAAAAATTTATCAGATGGTCTTTTACAAGAATTTGTCTTATAAAGTAATTAACTTTTTATCCATAAATTACGAGTACAAGATGTAATACGGAAATCAATATAATGAACATATTCGTAGGTCAATTTTATAATACCATCAATGATACACTATGGCCCCGTTCTTTTGAAATTGTGGGCAGAGCAGAACATATTTCAGTGGACCAGAGCAGAGCCGAGCAGAGCAGATTTTATTATTATTATTATTAGTATTATTTTTAATCAGAGCAGAGCAGATTGAAGCAGAGTAAATCAGATTTCAGCTGAGTAGAGCAGAGCAGCTCTAAAGAATGGGGCCATATGTGGTCTATGGAGTATAATTAATATCAATTATTCATTTTACGTTGCAAATTATACTACTTTTGAATTAGTTTTGATCGAGTTCAAATCCTCTGTCCCATAAATTTGGTTCATTATGTTTATTTAATCCTCGTTGTAATTTGCAGGGGACACACCTGGTGTAAGAAGACTTTGAAAGCAGCACGAGAATGCATAACTGGTAGCACGAGGTACTTTATTGAACTTGAGGCATCTGAAGGTTGCAAGACTAACAAGTATTATGCGCAAGTTCTTGAACTAGTCTGTCAAACCCCTATTAGGAAGCTTGAAGTGTTCGAGCCTCGGATAAATGCACCCATTGCGGTTGCAAACTAATCTTCAACAATAAATATGCCAAGCCATTTTTGGTGTGCTTATATAAGCTGCATCAAAATATATTTCAAGTTTTATATTACTACGTATGTATTATGTACTAGTGCAATAAACAAGTCTTGGATGACTTGATTTGTGTACTAGTACTACTGTCTAATACTATTATTAACTAAATAAAATTACTGTTAGTGGTTGGACCTTAACTTGATCTATATAAGTGTGCCTGCACATTTCAAATTTGCCAATTTTGTATACTTAAAATATCAAATATGAATCTTTATTTAACAAAAGCATAGTTAAAGAATAAATGAAGTATTTAATAAAATTATCAATGTCTCAATTCATATCCGAAAAATGTTGGGCCCGGATCACCCACCTTGACGGGTCGCACGTACACTCCACTCCACATTAGTATGATATTGTCCACTTTGGGCCTAGCCCGCACGGATTTGTTTTAGGAGTGTGCTTTAACTTATAAGGAGCTTCTCACTTCCTTAATCTTTCCATGTGGGACTTGGGATGAACACCCCAACAAAAAATACACAAATATATTGATTAATAATACCTCATATGATACGGAGTATATGTTTACTTATGAATTAGCATACATAAAAAGTCAAAGTTTAGTTAAATCAAGTAATTAGATCTAATTCATTAAAAAATAAAAAAACCCTCTGATCATATTATATAAACAACAACAAGATGAACCAAACACAACCTTACTCCCTTGACTAAACTAATTATTCCATCTATAAAATGTTGTCTTGTGATCTCAAAGAAACATATGAATGCTTCTTTACCCTTTGATTATAAGAAATCGCTCACTTGTAACTTAAATTACTAAGAGCGCCAATAATGATTAGCTACTTTCCTTGTAGTTTTGGGTTCGTTGCCACATCATTTAAGCTACAACCTTCACAATAGCAAACCATTACATACCTTTTGTAAAATAAAAATTAAAAAATTAAAAAGAGAATAAATGCTAAAAAAGAAATCACTAACTACTTAATTATTCCTTCAAATTGGACAACACATGCTTTGAGTAGAGTGAAACTACATAGCTTTGTAAAGGTATGTAGTTTCACCAAAGCTGCAACCCTCGTAGCTCCACAATGATGAGGTATTAGCTCCAACTATTTAAAATTACAAGCAAGGACCTCTACACAACTTTTGTGAATGCTCTAATTGACCCTGCCTATATAATCACTTTCATCACATATCATATTTAATGGCAACATGTCAACATTGTAGATACAAAAAAAAAAATTAAATAAATAAATTCCATCCCTTTATACTACCTAGGTTTATTTATATTATGTGTCATTTGAAATGTGTAGGATTCAATTTCAATAAAGAGAAAATTTTGACTATGAGACAAATATATCAACCTTATGAATGTTTTTGGTTTGCATTATTGAAAACTGATAGAGTATAAAATATATTCCTGGGCTTCAATCATCAGCTTAAGTTTTTGGTTGAGTTGGTCTTCTAACATGGTATCACAGCTTAGGTGAGATCTTGGGGGAGTGATACAGTATAAAATATATTTCTGGGCTTCAACCATCAGTTTAAGCTTTTGGTTTGATTTGGTGCTCTAACAAAAACGATTAGTAGTTTTCGGTGATAGAGTATAAATTTTTGGATCCCGCCACTGATATGTATCTCAAAATTGGGAATTCCCTTAATTCCTTGTATTATCCCCGGCCACCATTCCTTCTACTTGAAAGCGGAACAACAAGTGGTTGCTGGTATGATGTACGTACTACATTGAAGTCGAGGAGGTTATGGATTATTATGTGCAGTACTCTCAATTTTGCTAACTTTCTTCCTGCTTGTTCATCAACTCATCACATGTTACCATTGAATTACACTATGAATAATATTCTCGAGGTTAATTATTATATTAGGGCCTTGAGCTTGTGCAATATGCCAATAGCCCAATATATTAACACTTCGATGACTTGAAACTTTCAATTATAGTGACCTAATGTTACAATTATTATGGATAAGACAATAACGTGTTAAATTAATACACTTGTATCAATTCAACTTAATTAATAAGTGCTAGGTCAAAACCAAAAGTCTACTTCTTTTGAATTATTTTTTTTGTTTTTTGTTGATTGAACTAATTAATAACTGTACATTTTTTATTTGTTGATGTTGTTGTTAAAATATTTTTTTTTATTTCTTACCCGATATTTAGGGTTCACAAATTCTCCAAAAAGGAGGGTGTTTGTTAATTTATTGTAAGGCGAGTTAAAGATATCTCAAAAGTACTTAAAGTTACCCTTTAAACTATAAACTTTTTAGTAATAAATTATCTCACAAAAAATTATAATGTATCTATATAACTAATACTAAAGTAGCAACCGCTAATGTCATCTTTATTCAAAGTTGTATACGTGGCGCTATTTCATGAAAAAATTTTCCGCTCAAATGTATTATTTTTTTAAACAAAATGTTAATTAATTATTAACATATTGTAGCTATTTTTTAGGTAATTAATTTAAAATAAGTACCTATTACTCTAGTTATTTATGTTGATATTAGGTTGTTGGAGTCTTTATAGGAGCAGTTAGCATAATTGAGGTCAATTAATTGAACTTTTGAACATTTTAAAATCAAAAAAAAAAAATTACAAAAATTCAAAGATAAATTACTGGTAAACCCGTGCATTGCACGGATGCTAACCTAGTTAGAATAATAATATTAGCCTTTATAGTATATAACCATGAATTATAAGAAATTACACATCACAATGAAATTCAAACCAACGACAAATTAAAATAGTTATGTTTACTTTCAAACTGATCGTCTTACAATAATATTAACGTAAACTCGTCTTACACAACACTTATTTTGGAAGAATACTATGAGTAATTTGGAACTTTAAAGTTTAAACTGATTTTTTATAGATTAAAATTGATATATACCAAAGTACTAAGTATATAATAATTCTAATATGAGTTGATCAAGGCCTTAAATGATAAAAATTTTACCTTGAGTACGGTCATTCATTCTCATTTCACATTTAAATGACAACAAGAATCAATGTGGACACTACTCTCTCTCTCACATACTTTGACTTTGATGGTCCCCACATTATGGTAAAAATAATGAGAATTACGGCCTAATATTTCATATAAGGGCTGCATATAGCATTACCCTTAATATATATTAATACGAAGTATGATGTATTATTAATTTATATTAATGTGTATTTTTTCGGATATGAAATGACATTGCTAAATTTATTAAATTCTTCATTTATTCTTTAACTATGATTTTGTTAATTAAATAAAGATTCATATTTGATAATTTAAATATACGGAATTGGCAAATTTGAAATGTGCATTGCATATTTGCATGTACACTTATATAGATCCGATTAAGACCCAACCACTGACAATTTTATTTAGATAATAATAAATAGTATTACACAGTATTACTAGCGCATAAATCAAGTCATCCAAGACTTGTTTATTTCACTAGCACGTAATACATACATAGCAATATAGAACTTCATATATATTTTGATGTAACTTACATAATAAGCACACCAAAAATGGCTTCTTAGCCGTGCAAATTTAATTTAATGTTGAAGATTAGTTTGCAACTGGGGTGGGTTCATCTCCTAGTAGAAGCACATGAAACTTTTGAAGCTCCTTAATAGGGGTTTCCGTGATTATTTCAATAACTTGCGCATAATAATTGTTAGTCTTGCAATCCTCAGATGCCTCAAGATCAATATAGTACGTCGTGCTACCAATATTGCCGTCTTGTTCTGCTCTTAAAACCTTCTCAAACTTGAGATTTGTCCCCTATAAATTACAACGAGGATTAAATAAACATAGTAAACCATAATAACATACGTCATGCATGTTAAGAGGATTAAATTCTTGTATAAGACGGTTTGATAGATTTTTGTTTGATGTACCAAGTATTAGTTTTACAAAAATTTACCTGCTTCTTGTTATACTCGGCAACAGCCCAAGCAGCAACCTCTTGGATCTTTAGACCATTTGCGTCGACAGGGTGTCGACCTCCGAGGGTGTTCTCTTGTTGATCAGAGGAACTCATTTTTGCGTATGATTTTGTTTATGTAGGGTTTGTATTGTTGTATTGTATGTATGTGTTGCGGTACTTATCTTTTGCAAACCGTCTCTATTTATAGGATAGGAAAATGGAAACAATAATTTCTTTTTTAATTATTCGATAATAAACCTATGGCTTATATATTTTTTTTTTTAATTGGATAAGCCTATGTGGCATATTGAATATATTTTTGTTAATTTGGACTGCCTCCAACTTAAAGTCTTTTTTTAATCGCTTCTTATTTTGATTATACATGTTGCTTTGATACGAGTGCACTTCATTTGTTGTTAGTTTAAGCAAAAAGAAAAAATATTCTTTACCATTTCTTTTTTTAAAAAAAAAAGTCTTCCCCTTTAGTTTAGGTTATCTAATAATAGTTGGCATAAAATTATGTTGATTGTATTGTAGGTTTTTTTTTTTTTTTTTTGAGAAATAGTTTAGTTAGTTTAGCAAGTTTCATTCTTTTTGTGATATTTCAATATACTATACTTCGTATTATTTTATGTGTGGGATATTACAACATGGTTTGACCCCGCTAATATAAATTTTCTAGTTCTGCCACTGCGTACGATCGTACATCATTCAAACTATTTCGAATAATGAGTAAGACAGCAACGAAGGGACGGAGTACCAATGTACCATTTTTATACTTTTCTCTAACCCTTTGAGTAAAGGGCAGGGTCAGAAAATGAAATCATACTCTAATTCTCTACACTAGTGGTTAGAAAAAGAAAGTAGAATAAACCTCAAAAAATAAATAAATGATGACCTTCCATCAATCAGCGTATATATTATCTCAACTATAGACTTAACCAAATTTCAATTAATAGTAAAATCAACTTCATATATAAAAAAAATAAATTGAAATGTCTCCTTTATTATTTTAGTATAAGTTGTAAAGACTAATCTTTTTTTTTTTTCTTTGGTCTTTAAGAGAGAGAAGGAAACTTAAATTAACTGGTAGGCTGGTGGCCATGTCTTAATGTATAGACGGCAGACACTAATAATACTTGCTGGCACGTCGAATAATATTTGAAGTGGGTCCCACTTTTAGTAATTAAATTCATTACATTACAAAATATCATTGAGAACTTGATACAAATTGATGAAATTATTATAACATTGTATTTATAATTACTTGTATTATAATATTACTTCCCAATTTGAAGTAAACAACAACAAACTAAGCTTTCCACCATTCTCTTACAATAGAATCTTCCCAAAATATATAATCCACAAATTTGTATTTTTTCTCCCATATTAAACCAAACAGTTAAGTTAAGTTGACCTGTACCAACCCGACTTCCCGACGTTAGAAACAACCACCCCTTCTTCTGTCCCAGTCATGACAGGCGGCAACTTAGCCTTCCTTGCTCTTTCCCCATTCCCACTGCCCTCAAAATCGCCCCTCTCCCCTTTTCCCAAATGAAAACGCCACAAAAGCTTAATTGAATTAAGCCACGAAACGAGCGGCCTTTTTAAAAATCTGAAACCCCTAATTTGAACTCCATGACGTAAACACAAACTTCATTCTTCCCATCCCAGGCCAAATTCCTAAAGACTCGCAATCATCATCTTCATAAACCTTTTTCTTCAACAACTCAATTAATTTCGAGGCATGAAAATGCTTTGGGTGGAGAATTGAAGCACCAACATCGTAGGTATTGTTAGCAATGGTTATTGGTGATATTAGTTATACGATATCCGATAATGGAGTTTTCTCTTGAAGACATGAATGGCGGCGATTTGGGAACCTTGCAAATATTTGTGGAGGAAATGGGAGACTGATACGCTAGAGATTTCGCTTCCGATAACGTAAACGATGGCTGGAGATGGCAGAGAAGAGAGAGAGATTGGAAGGGAAAGAAGGAGGATTACAATTATTAAGATGAAATTATTTTAAATGATGACATTAAAAATTTTATGCCTTTCAAGATAATAGAGAGTACATGATAACTAAATAGGTTAAAAATTATTATGAGAATCAAATTATATATACGATTTACAATTATAAACACTTGACACACCAATTATTCAAATATAAAGTATATAGTCACTATAATAATTATAATAAACAAATTATATTTTAGAAAAAATAATTAAGATTTTATATAAAACAAATTATTAAAATATAATCCTACGTTATGGTAATATAAAATACTTTATTTTAAGCAAATTCTTTAATTATTTAAAGTGATAATTAAAAAAAATACCTTGCTAAATGTCCCTTTTATTCGTGATATATTTTTAATTGTTTTTTTAAAATAATATTTTTAATTGTATTCAAGTAAAAGTTATTAATTATGATACTTGAAAGTATTTTTTTACTAACAGATAAATCACAAAAGCATATAAAAAATGTGTGAAGAGTCAAATGACGCAATTAAAAAAAAGTAATTAGCAATTTATATAAAATTATTTACGAATTAACAAATTACATGAATCAATAACAATGAATTATCATTATTTAACCATTCAAAAATTATGAAAATGAATGATTTATTTATTTAACGTAAAAGATGGATGAAAACTTAATTAGTTAGGATTGAGTTATGTGATTAAGGAATATATGCAAAAACAAAAATACATTATAGGTCATACAACATACCGAGTAGTATATTCACGTAAAACATATTAATATTTCCAAATGTTCATTTTATTCGCTTTTAGTCAAACCTCTGTTTAGGGATGATTTACTTTTTTGGAAATTAGTTGTCTCATTCAATACTATAGATGAAGATAGTGGCATAAATTACCATTTTGAATTTTACACAGTGAAAACAATGTATGATCGATCTTTTATGAAGATCGTGGGTGGCGTGGTCAATTTAGGGTTTTGGGTAATTTCAATTAACTTAGGGTTTTGGGTAATTTCAATTGATTAGGGTTCTTTAATCAATTTAAGGTTTTGAGTAATTTTAATTGATTGAGATTTTGTTTAATCGATTTAGGGTTTTGGGTAATTTTGTATCTTTTATACGTATCTTTATATTATACTCCTTTTGTCTATTATGTATATTATTTCGTATTCTCGAACAATATACTACAAGAATATAAAAAAAAAAAAAACTTGTTGCGCGATCAAATGATCATATCAATAAGTATAATTAGACAAGAATATATGTCATTAGGCCACTAACGTAGAAGATTCGAAATATAGAACAAAAATGTGATTCTTAATTACAAATCTTATCCTATATATTGAGAGGGGTGCTAGTTTGCTACTGCAAGTCTGCAAGATACACACTACAACAACATACACATACACATATATTATACCGTACGAAGAATGAAGCGGAGATTGATTTGCTCAGCTCCCCCGACGATGAATCTTGGAGGCCTTAAGCTTGTTGAGTCAACCAATCCAAAGTTTCAAGATAATGTTGCTTGGGTTGTTGTCCTGTTGAGAAGTACAACAAGGAACAAATAAGCTTTTTTTCTCCTTTTTTTTCCTTCTCATAAGCGACTAATCAACCAGTGCTCCCTCAATTTTTTAAGTGAAACATTATGAATTTTTACACTATTCACGATTTCACATAAGCCTCTTTGACTAATTAATGCTTATATTATATATATAAGAAAAAATATATTCTCGTGGGTACTTGTTAGAATCATCTCAATAATTAATTTTTCAATATTCAATTGTTATGATTTATATTTATTCATAATTTTAAATATTGTTAGTCAAAGTTTTGCAATTGGCATAGACATCGTTTTTAGAAAAAAAAAAAAAAAACAGTTCACATAAATGTAAAAATAAAAAACAGAGTGAGTAGCCTTCACTTTTAGAGGATGACGTTAGGTTGCCACCTCACCAGGTGACCTACATAGTGAACTCCAAGCCTTGGGAGGGTCCTCGAGATGGAGTCTTCGATGCTCAAGTCAATTACCATGGATGATTAGGCCTCGTAAATTGAAGCCTTTATTATTACAACTATGAGCCAGACTTAATTGTATATTTCACACAATGGGAAACTCACCTTGTAAGTTGTAACTTATTCAAGCCTCAACTATTTTTTGATTATATGTTTGAGAGTCGGGGAATTTCTTTATTTAAGATGGGCTGATTTGTAAGAGATGTTGTTACTTCTTATAAAATAAAATAGGAAAATTCTCTTTGGTAACACCATACTTTTTTACTTTTCTCAGTGGTGAATTACAAAAACATAATTCTTATTATCTTTGGTAAACCTGAATTTTTATATTAAGTTAACCATGACATTAATGATAAATTGTAGTTAAATATTTCTATAGTTAGTTTATTTATTTATTTTATTATTTTTTATTTGAATACAAAAATTATTATTTTATATATAATAAAAATCCACCCCTTCCCCAACCAATCAACCACCACTCTTCAATTCGCCCCTACCCACGCCGTCACCGACCCCTTTCTCGCCGGTGTGTCGGCCTCCCCTTCTGGCCATGAATCGTCAACAGCCAAAATCGCTACTATACAACAACATCAATCAACCAAACACCTTCCCCGTCCTTAATTTCGATCTTCACCATCAATCGCCGATGTCTTTTTCGATCAATTCGCTTCCAATTCGTCCTTATCTCTCTTCGTTGAGATTTGATGAGTGATTTCTTTTCTGTTGTCCTAACAAACAATTGAGATTAGCAAGAGAAAAATTGGGTATTTTTTTAGGGTTAGGGATTAGGGTGGAAATCGGGAATTAGGGAATCAAGGAAGGGGAGTCCGACAGGAGAGGGGTTACAGCTATGGTTGCGGATTTCGAGGGTGCGGGATGAGAGGCTGGCGAATTTCGGGGGTGGGGGATGAGTGGCTGGCGGTTTTCAGAGGTGAGGGATAAGAGGTTGGTGGTTTTGGGGGGTGAGGGGTGAACGGCTGGTGGTTTTCGGGGGGTAAGGGATGAGCAACTGGCTATTTTCGGGGGTGGGGGATGGATGTATTTTAGGGTTATCGAGGAAGGGGAGAGGCCAGGTGTGGGATGGTCGTCGGTGTTAAGGGGTTTGGGTGCCGACAAATCGGCAATGAAGTGAGGTGGCGCTGGCGAAGGGGAGGGGCTGGGGCACTGGTGGGTAAGGTTGGGT